GGGGGGGTGGGGGGTGGGGGGGAAAGATGTGAAAAAGTGCTGCCAGATTAAACTTTACTGATGTCGAACACCACTGCCACATTAGTAATCAGAAAAGAAGAATGAATTCCTCTGGTAGAAGGCTTCTCTCAGTGTTTCTTCTTTTTCTTGGTTTCATTTATAAAACACCTGCCACAAAGCATTAGCAAATAAGTATACTTACAGTAAATTTCAAACCATCTGACTACAGGTTTATCAGCCATTCTAGTCTGAACTAGATTTATGAAAAAGTTTTTTTTTTTTAATCAACTTCTCAATTGAAAAACTGCAAAACTACTTAATGTCAGAAGCTCTTTTGAAAAACACTACTCACATTTATATAATTTGCATTGATGTAATCTTCATTACTTTTTAAAATAACCCGTGTAGCATCATCTGAAAAAATTTTTAGAAAGATGTTACTTTTTTACTAACCACAGTAAAATACTTTTAGAACACATATACAAATACACATACTTACAAGGCGAAATGTCTCTGTATCTATTTTTGGAAATGTTTTGAGGTAATCTGGCACAAGACATTGTCATTCCAGGCTTTTTCCTGTATAATTGCTAAAAGATAAAACCGATGGTCAGACCATAATAGATGCAAAAGACCTGTTAGTATATTATTTGCCTAGAGGTACTTTTTGGAACATAAAACTACTGAGCAATGGTAGCTTCAACACACATGAAAACACTTTTCAAAAGAAAGCACTACAAATTTAGTTATGCTGTGGGATCACTGAAAATAATCAAGATGTCATCACAATTTGTTTAAAGACAAACTGAACGTTACATTTCAAGCTTCCATAAGAACACTGATCCAGAGAAAAGTCAATATTGTATACTGGTAAGGGAATTGACTGATACTCACATTCCACACAGTGATTTGGGGCAAGCAGATTGTGTTGTGTATAGGCATCTACCTACATTGCAGTTGTTTCACTTCCCCCCCTCCCGAGATGTCCTTCCATATTTCAATAACTGTAGAGCGAATCCTGGGCTACGTCGTGCTTTTCCTGCACAAAATCTCCTTTGAGAGGTTCCTGCCCTTTCACATGCCTTAGCCATGCACTGCCACAACCCTTGCACTGCAAACAGTATCGGTGAAATGATCCAGGTTCAATAAAAAGCACTTTAAAAACTTTTAAACATTGAACTTGTTTGGGAGACTGAAAATGTATGGTTAAGGAGGGATTTTAAATCACTTTGAGAAAATTTTTTCTTTCTGTATATAAAATTTTACCAAAGTCCTTAAAGAATAGTAAGCCGATATATTTTAGAAATATATGTTGTAATACATAATGCTAGGTCTCCATTTGGTGAGGATTTCACAGAATTCACACTGCTGTGTTTTAGAAACCTACCGCTTCCTGCTTTAAGTCACTTGATCTCATGCGTTAAAGATGGAGCATCATCAATGTACAAGTCAGTGCTAAAGAAAGACTATAGCTATCAGTAGCTAGGACCCCACAGGAAGTGCACTGGTCTTTTGAAATATGTCATTAAAAAAAACTATTTATAAAAGACGTTGTTACACTAACCCTGAAGATTAGAGTTGTAACCATTAAAATGAGGCTGTGTTTTCCACTGGTAATTTTACCTTCCCTCATTGAGATTGTCCATAAAATGTCAACAGCTCAGTTGTCATTCAGGTTCTACAGTAACTTAGATATGGAATCAAGGTCTGAGTACAGAACACATATTTTGGTATACATTTTTCAGTCTTCGTCTCTATGAAAGTATTTTATTAGCATGGGTACCTGATAACCACAAAAAGCTGTAAGTAATCAATAAAGCTATATGTAACAAACAACACTAAAAACTAGTATTAGGATTATTCGATGCCATAAGATTGCACATACAATACAGGATTGGATTTTTTTTTGTTATTTTTCTTTTGAGAGTGTAAAGACAATTGCTAAAAGATGCTGCCTCTACTGAAATTTAACTGAAATCTGCTCTGCTTGAAACAATTACTATCCCAAAAGACTTGGAACATGCACACAGCCACAGGCGACAAGGTACTCACATCAAATTGAGCCAAAACAGTTCCAGTGATAAGCCCCTCTGCTAGCTGAATCATGGATTCCCTCAGAGCATTATCGTCTTGATGGACACCATCAAGCGGAGATTTCTCAGGGATGTACTGGAAGTCAGGCTCACTCTCCAGCTTCTCTTCCACAACATCATAGACAGCTATAACAAATAAAGGTATGAACGCTCTGACTGAACATGCTGTTTGGCAAGTAAGGTTAAATTACTCTAAGTCATTTATTTAAAACAACAAAAAAGACAAGTATTTCTCCTGTAGAAAAATCCACATTTATTAACACACTGATTTTAGTCCCCATCAGCAAGGGCAAGTAGTCTTTACTGATCATTATAATTCATGACAAAACTATTTTTCTTTTGTTTAACAGTAATTTTAAGTGAAAGCACATCACTGACTGCTAAAACTTCGATCAAAACTCATGTTATACCCTACCTTGTCTGATGTAACTCCCTAATCTCAGATTCTCACATCATGCCTCTGAAATCATTACAGTTGCATTTACATTTTTACTTTTAATTCACTTTGAACTGATTTTAGGCTTCAGTAATTAGGGCAAGATGTGCAGACCACCTGAGAAAATGGCATTAATATATGCCATTATAATGCTACCAATGCTATACGCGTGCCCTGCCTATAAATAAACTGAAAAATAATATGCATCTTCTCCTACACATAACAGAGACATGCTGTTCAAAAGCTGCTTTTAAATGATAACCCATGACCATGAAGGAGGAAACTAGCAACTTCTCACTTCTACAACTCAAATTTTTTTATCCAGAATACAAAGATAATCAACACACAAGGGGAAACTGTTTCAGTAAATTTGTAAACAAAGCTAACAATTTCATCTGAAAAGTAAAGTAAGCACACAAAATCTGCAAGACAACTTACACACAGAATGAGAGCACAAGTAAGTGGGGAGAGCAAATAAGTGAATAAAGGAAAAATTGTTTATGAGGTGGCTGAGGTACTCTCCTAAAATAATTTCAATTATTCCAATTAAACATAATTATTTTTCATTTTGCTTTCTCCTCTGCAACTGTATTATAATTGGGATGTCCCGGAGAATTAAATCCAGTGACCATCTGCTGGCAATGCTCCAACAGCGTATTTCATGAATATATTGCACAAGCTGTTATTTAGACTGCATTTTTAGCACTTTCTTCTATTAAGCCTCCCCAAGTAGAAATGTTACCAGTCATTCTGGATTGTTTTAAAAACATATGGAAGGATTTTGCATGTATCGACCTCCAAAGTCATCCAAACACTGGGTGTTTGGTGAGGGGTTTTTTGTTTGTTTGTGTTTTGTTTTTATTTTCTTTAAAGGAACAACAGCAACCTCAGAAACTGCGTTCAATATCCATAGAGCTTTCTGAAGATTTTTATCAATGAAAGTGAGAACAAAATTTAAATTAGCTCTCTGTTAGAAATATTTGATCTCTGACTTTCCTTAATTTTCAACACTTAGTTATGCACAGCTCCTTAAGAGTATGGGATTGATCAAGATTTGTACAATACATTGTGTTGTTGCAATTCCTTTCAAGGAAGAGAATTCTTTCTTACAAAAATGTTGAGCATTCCATCTCAGGGCATAAAATGGAGGTTAGCAAATGAAAGCAAGGTGTGGATTTTTTTTTTTTTTATTATTATGTACAAATCACTCACCATTGGGTCGAACTAGGAGCACAAGTTCCCCTGAGTGTCTCTCACAGCTAGCTTTAATAAACATAACAACTTGATCATGGGTATGTTCTGCTATATCCCTGCCGTTAATCAGTACAACCTGGTCCCCTTCATTCAAACGAGGGACACAGAGATCAGCCTGCAAGGTGGGGGGGGAAGGGGGGAGGGGAAAAAAAAATCAAATCTGTAAAACAAGCCATTTCCAATTTCTCACCTTAAAATAGCAACTTAAAGTAACTATACTTGGAGACTTGAATCCTAACAGCCTAGTTGCTATGGTTGCTGCATTGTATTCAAATGATAAATTTGTTACACAATACATAAGACAGTGCCATTCACGCGAACAAATCAATTTGCAACTGGGAGGTGACTGTCATTGTAACATGTTTTTCAGCAGCTGTTACTCCACTCCTCTGGTTGAAGTAGAAAGCTCCTCTGTTTGAATCACATTTTGCGTGGGCAATTAAAAAGCAGGATGTTCTTATCTTTGAAGGAAGGGAGTAACATGGCAAAGCCTTGTCCAAATCAATTTCACTGGCTTAAATGCTTCAGGTGTGAAATATCGCAACTTGTAATGACAAGAGTAAGACAAGGACCGAAGACAATGCACAAATCCCAGTAATCCCAGAGAGAAGAATCATGTAATAAAAATCATTATTATAATCATAGTCTAAAGATCGTTGCAAAAAAGAAACAGCATATGCTGTCACCCAATATCTTCTCCTTAGAAAGTGGATGTTTAAAGCATTCAGCCAAAATTATATATGTTATTAAATATCTCAGAGATAATAGTTAACAGGGACAAAGAACAATGTTCCTGGCAAACATTTTAATAGTTTCAAATAGTCAAAAAAAAAAAAAAACGGTACTACTTAAATGTTAGCAAATAAATGGTTCACTCTAAAAGGTATAAACAGAACTGACTCCAGTCAGCTGAATACCAGGTCAGTATTTTTGGCAATCAACTGACAAAATATTGTGCCTAGTTTGAAGACACCATTGATAGTCACTAAACACCAGTAACAACATACAATCAGACCTGATGAATGATTCATGATGTCTGATTTTAATCTAAATCTTGGCTTTACTCAGCTACATCTGTCACTAAAATAAGAGAGATTTGCTATTTTAGTTATTTTTAACATACTAAAAGACTCTTTCAATATATAATTTATGTGAAATTATATGAATGCCTATATTTAAAAAAAACTAATAAAGTAAATGTATTTTTACTCACGAAACAGTGCATACTGAACATCTGTAATTCCCTGTAATTTTCAGGAATGAAATTTTGTTTCAGTAAGAAAAAAATATTTTTGAGGATTGAAGATCTTTTAAAATATGTTATATAGCCCCATCAAATTCTTACTGCATAATTTGCTTTGTTAGGATAATGGTATAGCACAAACTAATTTTCATAGGCAGCCATGAAATAACTTACAGTTTTGAATACATACTTCAAGATACACAGATATTGCTACCAAGTTTGGTTTTTTGATAACTTACAGGTGTTCCTGGAGCTACCCTGGACACTATTACCGGCATCTTCTGATCGTATCCACCCTTTAAAAACAAATTAATTTAGTAATAAATCACAAATGTCAGAAAATAATCTTAATAGACATGAAGGGAATAGATGTACTGTTACCTTTACATTGAAGCCAAACCTTCCATTTTCATCTGGTTTCATTCTGATCATAACAAGATTGTCATGAGGGACACCACCATTGGGCTAGTAAACAAAAATTACATTATATTAATATATATTTTGTTCATAGTTAGACTTTGAGGATATTGTATGTAATAATTTTGCAGTTTCCTCATCAAGTAATTGCTCCTGGACACTTGAGAAAACATCAAGTAATAGTGCAAACATCTTATCTTGCATTTTGCATAGAAGGGAAAAGTTACACATTTAAAAGTCTTGGATGTAACTGAGTTAAAACTGTGTCCTGTCAAAGCAAGCTCAAAGTAAAAAACAGTATTAAAAAAGACTAATTGGCTTCAAGCAGTCTTAAGAAAAACAGTTTACTAAATAGAAACTCCTTAAATTCGTTTTAATTAAGACCGCAGTGAAAAGCCTGCAGTAAGAATGTAATATGATGAAAAATAAGGTAATTGAAGGTATGCTTTTGTTTCTATTAGCAGCAATATGACAGTAATAAGCAAGGACAAGTTTGGCAACAAAATCTTGATTCCATATCCCCTATTCCATTTTCAGTGCAGTGGAGTATGAGGTGTGACACATGCTCTGCACTGACCAGGCTCTGACAATACTACCTGCTTTCTTTCTGGTTTCATTCTGATCACACCACCACTATTAAAGGAAGTACCAATAAACTGGGGAACACTAGATACTTTTTTAATCTGGAAAAATCCACTTAGTGCCATTGAAGTGATTTTTAGTTTGTTCCCATCAATATTTATTTCACAGACTGAACACTAGCTAGTATTTTCATATAGTTTCTATGGTGAGGATGCAAAGTACTATTAAAGAAATTCGTTTCAAGGAAGTTCTCAATGTTACCAATTACAGCCAAAGCATAAGACTCATATTCAGAAAGGAAGAAAACAAAAAATCTTATTAAAGCAAGCATTTCTATATGTAAGAAAGTAAAAGAAGTCTGCTCAACTTGGCTCATAAAAAGTTAACACAATTCCAGGTGTTTTAAGCTCTTGGTTAAAGCAAAACAACCCCCCCGAACACATTTATAGTAATGAAAAGATGAAAAATGTAGGGAAGGAGAGGAAAGTAACAGTGTAAGATATGTTAATGAGAAGGAAGGGTGCTTAGGAAGCCTGATCATATGCAAATCATTTTAGCCTATGTTCACTGGCACGGGAGACCAGACTCGGGTTCCTGGGCAGAATGAACAACAACCAAGTGTTCACCTGCAGCATTTGGCAAATTTTGTGCCATTGCATTCCCCAGATGAAAATGGAATAATAATTTCCTGCTTTAACAGGCTATTTTAAGCAGCAGTTTATAATGAAAAACCTGAAGAGAGCACTGTATTATCATCATTAACCTGTTTGACTGAAGGGACTCCTGGCCACACCTGTTTTCAAATACTTCTGGACATTCTCAGACTGAATGGGGATTGCAGATGGAATAAAAAGTTGTCATTCCCGTACCTGTCCTACTACCTTTCTAAATAGACTCTCCATACATACAACAGACGAAGGAAATTCAATAGCTAAATGAAGTCAAAATGGTGAGGGGTTTTCCTTAAAATGTTTGAGATGGAGCAGCAGAAGAGATTTTAGTGGTGGAGGAACCTGAAGTGCATTCTGGTCAGAAAAGCAACTTTGGGGAAAAAACAAACAAACAAAAAACACATTCCAAATCCTAAATTTATAATTTCACAAAATTTCAGAGTCATGCTGCGTTCCTTCTTCTCTAATACCCAAAATAAAAAGCCATCAGCAGACCGAGTTAGATTATAACAGTGTGATGCCTTAAGCGAGGCTGCATAAATGTGGCCCATTGGACCACAGCAAACAATCACATTGACAATGCACAGGAAAAAAAAAAAAAATCTCATTCTCACACAGCTGTGTTGGTTTTGAAGAACTAAAAAGAGTTAAAAAAAACAACTGAAAGTTATTTTTGTCAATTTAGTAAAGATAACTGAATACAGAGCAGAAAAACTTGATGAGTAAAGTAATGTTCTCTTTCAAAACAGAACAGTACTTTAATGACTCAGGTAAGCACTGACAGAAGATAAAGCTGTTAAAAATTCTGTTTCATTATTTAAAGCAAAATTTTTTACAACATTTCCAAAATGCTCATAAATTTACAAATTTCACTTTTGTGTGTTTTATTAAAACCCCAGCTATAAAACTAAATATGGGTTTTATGGGAAGCTTAACTTTGTAACGAGGCCGGAGAGAACACCCTAGGCTTAGAGTTCAGAATGCAAATAAAAATAAACCAAAGGCATTTCTAAAATATCAATTTTGGGAGCTGACTCATAATTTTGAATGTCTGAGGTCGGCAGAAATGTTTATACAGTATTTGCCTATATCTGGATGTTAAATAGTTTCCCCATCCTGCAAAACGTTTCTTGTCCCACATCAGTATAAAACCAAGAACTATTTGAAAACTTCTGGAAGGACAAAAAATCACAAAAATGGTCAGTGAGATCTCACCTCAGTCAGACAATAATCAACTGACTAGCTTACTCATTTAGCAGGTGCTTAAGTGTGGAAAAAGAACTTTTGCTCACATTTTTACATTCATTGTCACAGGTCTCTTGGTAGAATCTCTTTCTTGGAAATTCTGATGAGAAATGCAACCACAGATTCAAGAAGCCTCTCCTGACAAAACTGCTCTAGAAGCTGGTAGGCCCTTTCAAGTTTCAGCTTTTTGATAAAAGCTAGATTAAACACATAGTGTCTGCAATGTCTTCTTTAAAATTGATGGTAGATGACTTCTCAGAGAAGAGGTTAGTTGGAAATTTCTGCATGTGCTGAAAAGCTAATGTTCAAAATGTTTGCATATCCATCCCAATGTAGCCATTTGATGACAACTGACAAAGGACTGCTCCGGCAGGTGGAAAAAATAGTGGGAGCTAGCAAAGAGACAGTCTGTATAAGAGAAATGCTGCAATGTAATGCACAAACACAACAACTCTCTGAAATGCATCAGAACCAAGCTCATGGAAAGTAGAACTATCATTCTGATAAAAAGCAGAACGGTTAAACTGGATCCAAAAACTTACTGTGGATTTTTCAGGTGATGCAGGAACATCAAATGTTTCATTAATATGGTTATCCAGTTCTTGCTGTGAGTGTGAATGATGAATTTGGTTCCAACTGTTCTTTTTAAATTGTTTGGGTGGTAATGCAGGAGGCTGCCCATCTATAGGAGTCTCTTGAGATCTAAATACCAAAATAGAAGTATGAAGCGGAACGATCATGAGATATTGACAGTTCTTCCAGGGTTCCAAATAAACTGAAAATGCTAGAAGAAACTCAAGAGTTTGAGAGCTCAATATCTGTATGTATTTTTAGAATCTCAAAAATGTACTGTGGTGGAATAACACTGGAAGTGTATGTTTGGACATGTTACTGCTTTTTTTCTTGACAAGCAACTGTACACAGCACCAGTAAGTTCATCCTTTACACACGACTTCTTTTTTTTTTAAAATGGTTTTAGCACTCTTAACCCACTTTATAATGGAAAATTATAAAATTCACTGTATTTATACTTTGCACTCTTGCTAAAAAAAAAATTATTTCTAAAATAGATGTCACTTAATTTCCTCAGTAGGAAAATCAATTAGTTTGCATTTTAAATTAATGCCTGCAATTTAAATCTTAAAACCAGACACAAGCAGCATAATAAAGAACTCCCACACTAGTTTTTGGCTTTTGATCTAAAAATAGGAGGAGTGCAAGCTGAAGACAACTCAGCTGTCCCCCTGCATTTATTTGAAATGCCCACTGGAAATGACAGTGTTAAATTTTAATTTTTCAATTTAAAAGTATATGTATACATTTCAAGAGAACTTTGTTTTTTTCCCTCCTCTTGAACATATTCCCCTTTGAAACATGCACAGCTTTGAAACATTTGTAAAAATGGCATTCATTGCATGCATTTTTTAGTTCAGTTATAAGACCATTACTGAAGATGAATAGCAGAAAGTTCTGTGTTAGATCTGCAAGTAGTCTACCGTAGATTAATAAAAATGTTCTCTGTGTTTATGTATAATATGGATAATTTCCTTTATTAGTCCTTTTGGAATAAAAGCTTAACTGTATAATTTGTATTACCTAAATATATGATTCATCTTTCATTACATAGCTTTATATTTAAGAATTAAGAAGAACATTTTGAGAGGCCCAAAAGGGCAGTTAGCACATAGTTCCCATTAACTTAGTTTGAATGCCAGTTTCTAAATACCAGCGAGGATACATGCCTTCCTCCCCAGCAAACCACATTAAAAGGTATTATTAAGTAATTTAACGACTTAAGACAACAGCCCACTGATACTAGTAGCAAATCCAAAAAACACCAAGAATGAAGTAGCAGGTTACAGCTAAATCTAAAGAGAACTCTACCACCAAAAATGAGTGCCTCCTTTCTTTCTTTCACCCACACCCATGGCCCCTTCCTTGAAAGTACTGCGGTGCGCCTCCCTTTACTAAGGCAGCTTACCAAGCAAGCAAAAATACATTGACTTTTTGGACAAGCCTGGGTAGCTCTCTGCTAGTTCAACAAGGTGAACTGGTTCATCACAGGGTCGACCACTGCGCGAGAAGGGAAGTACACTCCCAGAAGCCAGAAATAGGACACTGCCCCTTTCGTTATCAGCAAGCTGTAGTGGTAACTCATAGCATAGCACCCCCCTAAAAAGCACGCGTAACCACGTGAGTAGTCCTACTGTATTTAGCTGGTCTAGCCACAGTAAACTATTAGAAGAGTAAGACACTCATTATGAGACAGCATAACATTTCAAGTTGCTGCAAGTTAGAAACCTAAGGCACATATCAAATTCCATACTGTACAATTTGTTTCTATGCAATTAAAGAAAGGCAGATCCCAGACACATGTTTTCAAATAAAAACAAAAAATCAGATCACAATTGTCTTCAGTGATTTCAAATAAAGGATGAACCTCTTTCAAAGAGCATAAAAATTGAATGGGAAATGGAACACTTCACTTTGAAAAACAACACATTTTCCATTTCGGTTTTAAAAAATTTAGTCAATTTTCTTAGAAAACAAAATATAGGTAAAATTTTTTTGTCAATGTATGAAAACAGTACATTTGAAAAGATCCTAACAATGTTTTTTCTGTATTTGTTGCTTAATTTCAACTTTCAGAAAATAATTTTTTTTCATGCAGTGAAAAAGGAAAAAAAAAAGTACTAATTATTCAGTATCTGATGTCTGAAGACTCTCATGTTCAAAACACACTAGGGAATAAAAATAACACTTCTTAACACTTTTCAATGCAAGTGACAGTAAAACAGAGCATATCATCCTCATATTTTATTCTTCAGGATAAGCAGCTTTTCTAAATTCATTTTTTGTGGAGAAAGAGAAAAATATGATGATTGCCAACATTTGCAAAATGAATTTTCAAGGCAGCTATAAATTATTTAGACATTGACTTACAAAGGTCACCCAGAGCTTTTTATTCATTCAAGTCTGGCCAGCACAGACTCAGCCTTTTAAGTGAAGGGCAACATAGTTATGTATTTTCCTGCAAACAATTATTCCTGAGAGTTTTAAACTGAATAAAAAAGGAACAGAAAACATGGAGTAGAGAGACAAAAGAAGTCATTCCGATAAAAGTAAAAGACGGGATCTTATGTTTGACCAGATGTCTGTACATACATGTCAACAAACACAAATAAATTCCTACTGAACATCAAACTTACAGAAAAGATTTGAAAAGTTACTTAAATGAGCATTTTAGAAGCAGCAATGCCAGTACTGTAATATATTAGCATAATGAATTGTGAGAACTAACAATCAAGCCTTGGGCAAAAACTTCATTGCTTTATATTTGCCCAGTCAGCTTTGAATTTCCTTATGAATGCTTAGACAATGGCAGTGAAAGCAGCCTATTTTGCAGGCAAAGCAGCTCTCTGTTACTGCATTCAGCAATTTACATAATAATAAAATAACACACAAACCCTGGCACTGACAAGCTTTCGGTATTTTTGTTACAGATATCCGGTCTGACCTTTTAGTATATTAAGCAAAAGTTTCATACATATCCCATAAATTTATTAAACTAAACACGTATCACGTGCTTTTGGAATTTAAGGTTATAATTACCTCAGGGAACTACAAGCAGAAATCTCTCAATTTAGTTTTGAATAGCACATACAGATAAAGAAAAAAATGTGGAATTAAAAGTTTTATTAGCTAAGCTATAATATCCTTCTAAACTGCATTGAAACTCTGATTTCTTTTGCTATGTTGACTCCAAATTCAGAGAGATCACTACACCTACTGCCTGTCAGGTTAGCCCCTCTGACTTCTTACATATGTAAGTTTGATCAATAAATAAAAATTCCCAACAAATTAGCAGATGGACTCCTCAAATCTTTTCACTCAGAAAGGTCAAATTGTTTAAGAAATAGCTTTTTGGACTGTAAACCAATATAATTTTAAACTACATAGCTAATATGAATTTCATAACTACTACTTTCTTTCGTAAATCTCAAATCTAGAATCAATAACATCACCTGAACCTTTCAGAAGACCCTAGTGGGGTTCATGTATTTTTGACAGTCAACGTCCTCATTCTTAAAAATATCTTATGCTAGATATCTATGCTGGGAGATTAAATTCCACTTTTAAGCTTCCAGCAAGAGAAAAAACAAAAACAAAAAACAAAACTTAGTGATGGAAGAGCAATAGTTTTTCTGCTTGGGCATAAAAAGTGCAAAATCATGAAAAAGAACAGCCACAGTTGCATAATTAATTTACAAAACCACTCCCTCTCTTTTTAAGACTCATTTCTATGGTGACTTACACCAAGAAATCAGGTATTAAATAAACAAATCGCAAGGACACTCAGGAACATCTTTTACAACTTAACTTAGAGTAAAGGCATATGAATAAAAGAGAATATTTAAGAATTGTGCTTACTTCACTGTATCACTCTATCATTTAGTAAGTGTTTCTCATAACTGACCTCAGTTGAAAGTCTTGGAACAGAAGGAACCTGACCCTGTGTGGCCTTTGTACAGCAAAATTCTAATATGAGAAAAGATTCACAAATGTTCCAGTTTTGAGACTCCCTTGCCATGTGAATAGGTTAACAAAGCCCAACAAAAAGGCAAATTTTATATTATTAGGCCAAATTACTGTTTTATAACTCTGAAAGCTAAATAACTAGCTGATGGTCAATTTATAACTATTGTACCCTATCATAAAAAGCATCTTGTGTTATTTTACAAAACTTTAAAAATTTTGTATTCTGTTTTCCTCCCCAAAGTTACGCACAGTTGTTAAAACTGAAGGTACAGTCCAAGCAAGGTTTTAAAATTGTGTTCAAATATCTTCCCAGAGTAATTTTTCCTGAGACACACAATTTGTTTATAAACATGTAATTATGTATGTGCTATTTTATAGTTCTCAAATGGTTTTGAAATCATTTGCACAATTTCCTTGCTAACAGAGATTATACAAAGTTATGTGGGCAAGTTTAGCACTACATGTATAGCTACATATAAGAAGGTACTGTGGCAGTGTTAATAAGGTGTATATTGTGCACTTTTTTCCCACCAATTAATCTGTACTTTGGTCACAAGTTATTGAGTATTTCAAATCTTTGAATAACTCAACGGTTTTTTGTTTTTCATCCTTCTGGACTTAATATACAATAATAGTTTTTATTTTGCCCACCATAGCATAGTAAACTTACAGTACCAAGAATATTCAGCATAACAGAAAAAAAGACTGATAGTGCTGTCTTAAAAAAAAAAAAACTATATATACTCTATAACAATACACAAAACATTCTACTAACCTCAGAATGCTGGGGTGCTAAAAAGGTATTTTGGCTAAGTAATTTGTAAAGCTCACTCATACTTCCGTGCCGTGACAAAACCCAAAATTTCCAAACTCATGGGAATTAAAAACTTTTATCACAAAACAACATAAATTCAGTGCTATCAGAAAAATAACTTTCACTTCTACATCCAGACACTGATGGTCACATTAAAGCAAACCCACATTTTGGGTGGGTGGGT